GGCAGCCAGAATATGTGTGTATTTATGCAAGTTAACGATAGTGCAGGAAGAGAAAAAGTCAGCCTATGGATAGTCTGGTGGTTGATGCTCTGAACTGTTGAAAACTTGGTAAATCAAAGGAAACGAGCGTGTAAAATCGTGGATGTCGAAATTTGGTGAGAAGAGGTTGTCGAATGACAGGATCTCAAGTTTGGTTAAATTTGTAAATCAATGAGGTAGAACAACTTGAAATCATTGTGTGAAATATCAAGAAAAGTAAGATGGGGAAAACTAGAGAGAAAAGTAAAATTCTTAAACCTGTTGAAAGAAAGATTGATCTTTCAAATTGCTGACGATTTTACATTTGTAGGTTTTAGGAGTTTGACTTAGCCTCCTAATTGTTTCTTTGATTGGTTATTTCCATCCAGGTTTTGAATAGACCAAAGTGTAGAAGAAACAAAACCAGTCAAATAATTTTTGGAGCCATAGTTTAAGATTTTTTGAAGGTTGGATTTAGAGTTGTTGAACTGGTGATGTCAAAACCAAAAATGGACGTGAAGGCCTTGAAATTTTTCAATTAAAAGTAAAATAACAAATAAATTGTGAGGAATAAATAGATGTGATGAAGTGATTGTAACCAATTGATCAATTATAGGGTAATTGTGACCAATAAAATGAGTAACTTGTGACCAATAAATAACGTAACCTAAAAAATAAGCGATTTTGTGATTAAATTTGTAATTATGACCTCTAATTTTTGTTTATGTACCAAATAAATAAATTATGATAAATTAATTTGATAATTTGTGATCTATAAATAAGTTGTAGCAAATTAATTTGATAAGTTGTGACCAATAAATAATTTGTGATATAAAAACGTATAATTTGAGACTAAATTTATAATTATGACATACAAATTGTGTCTTTGTGACTAGTATGTAATTTGATTATTGGTCATTACCTACATGTGGATGAATATTTTCACCTTTTTAATACTACGAATTGATGGATGTTACATTAATGTCGATAACATTTGTGTATTATGATTGCTATTTAATTTAGGTTAATTTTTTGTCAGATAGAATTTGTGATAATATACTCATGATAACAGATTTGTAGTTGGACAACATGTCACATTCAATACATGACTGGTCATAATAGATCACAATTAACACACTTGGTCACAAAAGGTCATATTTAACATATTAATGGGTTACAAACATTTAAAAAATGAGTTGCAATGAATAATTGTGGCTAATTAATTTTCTTTTGCAATAAATAAATGAGTTGTGATCAATAAAAGTTTTAATTTTGTGACCGATAAATAGTCCGTGACCCTAAATTTTTTGATTCGTAACCGATAAATAATATGTGACCTATAAAAAAATTTATTTGTGACTGAAAAATAAGTTGTGACCGAAAATTAATTTGTGATCAATTAATTTATAAGCTGTCATCAAATTGTATAGAATTGTGACCTTAATATATTTAATTAATAAAATATATGTTTAATAAATTAGTTTAAAAATAAAATTTTAAAAAAATCTGTTTTTTGAAATTTGGTCATGAACACATAAGGTTACAGTTCATGCGCTACGGGTGACAATTTGCTGTTAATGTCGCGGTTCACTAGTCACAAGTTTAAGTTCACAAGTCACAATTATTTCATATAAGTCACGAACCAGTATAAACGGGTCACGTGTCATTTTGTAGAAGCCACTAATCAAATTTATAAGTCACATTTTATGTTACGGGTCAAGGGTAAGAAATCATGTTAAAAATCATATTTTATATGTCACAATGTATACAGGTCACAGGTTATTGCCTAGAAAAAAAAAATTATGAATTTAGTATATTTAATTAATCAGCTAATTAATTTGATAAATTGTAATCAATAAAAAGTTCTAATTTGTGGCTTTAACGTTCTATGTTTTTTACTAGTACGCAGATGTGACCATAAAATTTATGATGTTGTGACGTTAATTTATTTATTTATCTATTTAATTAATTTGATCAATTATGAACGAGAATTAACTTATGATCTATTGACTGTGTGTTTTATGTTGTCTATAATCATGTTCTATTTAATCATGTCTATTTGTGGTTAGGTCTGTGTAAACCATTATGGTTTGTGATCATATGTGTAAGACGTTATTGTTTGTGATCAAATTTGTGTTATTTGTGACTAACTTTATATTCATTATGACTGTTTGTGATCATGTTTGTCTTAATCGTGACTGTATGTGATCAAGTATGTGTTAACAATGACATGATTAATCTGACATCTGTTAGAGATTAATGTTTGTGACATAACATGTTTACATTTAAAAATTTGTGACAATTGATATGTTAACTATGAACCCATATGACCAAGTCTGTGTTAACCGTGACCTATTCTGCCAAGTTTGTGACCGCTTATGACTAGATTTCCTTGTTTATAATTTTAATACCTCTATCATTTCTCATATACTTTATGCTAAAACAACATTATTTGAAAAAAAGACAACATTGTTTGTGAGCACCAGCTCTATTCCAATCCTCTGGTAATAAACACGAATAAAAGACAAATCGCCCCCGGGGCACATCCAAGTTGGCAAAGGAAGGACAGTGCGGGGCTCGCAACCCCAGCGTGGGGAGTTCGATTCCTGGTTGGAGCAGCTGAGTGTTGTAATAACCAGAGGAAGGGTTGGAGCAGCTTGGTGATGTAATAACTATGGAGGAGGCTCCCTTGGGGCCAGGAGTATAAAGGCTGTTCGAACCCTGGTCAACTTGGGCACATCCCGCGATTTACTTCCCTGAGCTGCTGAGGGGCCGGAAGTTCAGGGACGAGGATATAGTTTGGCGTAAGTTGGGATACCTCGTTAAAAAAAAAAAAAAAAGAATAAAAGACAAACCAAAATTCTACTATGCTTTGGCTAGAATTATTGTACTGCGAGAATTATTGTACAGCCACCTAAACTAACAACTAGTCATCTCACCAGCATCATCACCACCGCAATCACAAAGCACCACCACCACATCGCACTAGTAAACCATGACAAACAGCAAACATGATGAAGAGAAGACAGAGGTAAATAAGAAATAAACCCAAATTTCCCCATATTAACTAATTGAGTGTTTTATCTAACTACTAAAATGCTTGTTCCGACACCAGATCCATTACGAAAAGGTCCTGCCCAAATCGCTCAAAATGCTGCCCAAATCGAAAATCCATACCGTTTTCGCCAACACCGGTGGCGCCACCTCCCAGTCTTAAAGGTCCTCGTTTCGCACAGCGGTATAACAACCGATCAGTGCTGCAAGCGGAGTTGCAGCAGTGCGAAGCGGCCACTATGGACAATGGCGTGAGCGCCACCGCAACTACATCACTCACACTACCACAACAATGTTATCACCGCAGCTGTGCTCCTCGTTTTCGGTGGTTGAGAGAGAGAGAGAGGTGAGAGGCGTTGTGATAGAGAGAGAGTGTGTGTGAGAAACAAGTGAAAATCTGTTTAGGGTTTGAGGGTGTGGATGGGATGGATAAATGGATTAATTTAATTTTATAATATTATTTATTAATTTAAAATTTTTTATTTAACACCTAAATTTTGAAATATTCTAACAAGATTGTTAGATTTGAAATGTAATTTTTATAGTGTAGTAGTTGTGGAGTTTTCCCTTTATTTTTTCTAATATTTTGTGGTGATGCAATTGCTTTTGCGGCTACACATGAACAGTAGCAGTAGCAGTAGCAGTAGCAGTAGCAGTAGCTAGCAGCTTAATTCAAACCGGCAGCTACAACATAGTCCATTTTGGCAACTACAACTTAGGCCATTGCCTGAAAATGGGGCTCACTCGTGAACTGAGTTGACTCGAGCTTTTTTCGGTTGAACTGCAAGTCGTCCGAACTAATGAGTCGAATTGGCATCCCTAGCCAAGCCCAAAACGAGTTTACTTTTTCAATTGACCCAATCCAATTAGTATAATCAATGGATATATCGAGTCGTTCAATACGGATAACAAATGTGATGTAATTCAAATCGAAATATTTAATTTAATTATTAATTAAATGTATTAAAAGTATTTTAATTTTTAATGGAAAAAAATTAAATAATAATTCAGAGTGAATCTAGTGAAAATAAAATATAGAAAAACATATTTTTTGTAAGTAGTGAAATTGTAACTTACATAAAAAGAAAATTAGTTCTAAGTAATTAAATTGCCTAAAACTTATTTGCAAGAAAATTATTGCTCCCTCTATCCCATTTATATAGGGTAGCTTTCCTCATTCTCTTGTCTTAATTATACAGTCTCATTTATTTATTAAGAATGTTTTGTTTTGTTTGCTTAGTAATATACCATTATTTAGGCTCCGTTTATTTCCTATTAATGTAAAAATGAAAATAAAAAATATAGTCGTTACAACCCCACACAAGAAATAGAAATTCAAATGTGATGGCTTGATATGATAGATAATGATCATATTTTTCATTTTAATGGGGAAAGAATAAGAGACAAATAGGGGCTAATTTGTTTAGTTATAACTAATTTTCACGTTTAATCTTGAATTTTACAAATATAAATAAGGGTAAACAAGGAAAGTTTTTGACAAAAATTATTTTTTGAATAACATTAAATAAGATTTTTTAATTTGTGTGAAAACAAAATCAGTTTATATAAATGGGATGGAGTGAGTAATTAAATATGTTTGATTATCTTAATATTTAACATAGAAAATGATGTATTTTTCCATAAAGTTGAGTTTTTGAATAGTATGAATTGTTGAAAAAAAACGAAAAAAAAATTCTATCCTCGTAAAGAAGATATTTTCCTTATTTTTGGGGAAAATATGGTCTCGTGATCAACTTTTGAAAATCCATAAAAAAATTTAAAAAAAAAAATCGATCAAGCACCTCAGAATTAAAACTTGAACGAAAAAGAACAGTTTTCATAAAAAAAAAATAAAGTAAATCAAACGCGTTGATGATAAAATGTCTGTTGAAATACTAAAAAATATCGCTCCAAAATTGATAAATATGTTCTTTACAAATTAAAGGTTTCGCTTTAGCTTGAATTCAATTCTGTATCTTTAGACGATGGGTGAAATAAAATATACATACCATATAACCTACTTGAGTACACTGGTAAACAAAGATCCTTCTCTTTCGCTCGACGTCTCTCCCGCGGTCTCTACACTCTCTACCCCTCCCATACGAGTATAAGATATACCAGACCTCAATTGAGTGTAAGATAGGCTCAATTTCTGAATTTCTGCTTCTCTTTTCCATTGTTCCAAGATAGGCTCGTGTAAGCTCTTATCTCTTATCTCTTTCAGATATTTCTTTTCTTATCCATGTTTGTATGTTTTTGGTGGTGAATGTGATTTGGAATTTTGAATCTTTGATGATTTTAGACATTCTGCGAATTGGGTAAGAGGTAAAAAGAACCAATTTTTAAAGCTTTGGGATGATATTTGGCGGTTGAACGAGAGTTATTTGCTAAGATAGGGTTATTAAAGATTTGACCTATTTCTATGTACGAGAGTTCTATTTGGCGGATGGAGAGTTCTTTCCGGAATGAAATGAAGTGCTGACTGGAGAACTGCTCGAGTATGGGTACTCTGATGTGGAGGGAGTTACCCCTATGCTTACCAAGATCATTATTCGCGTCACTTGTACCCAAAACGTTCTAGGTATTAAAATTAGTGTGCACTTAGCCGAGATTGTGATAGGTTCCAGTCAGAAGCTTGCTGATCAGGGGCAGTAAAAAGAAATAAGTTCTCTTTTTGGGTGAGATAAACCACAAGATGCAATTGAATAATGATTGATGATTGTTTATTCACATCCATGGCTTTAAATAAGCCAAGTTTAACAACTTCCACTGAATTATAGCCAAAAGAACTGCAAAGGCTAGTAAATGACAGAAATAGATAAACATGAATTAGAATGCAAAACTAAATGCTAAAGACTCTCCTACAGCTAAACTAACTTTGGATCCGTTCTTCTACTGACCAACTTGGACCTGTTCTGCTGCTCAAGATTACTCTACATCCTTGGGATTTGGCTTTGGTATTCTTCCTGAATGACATTGCTGTGTAACAGATTGTTACCTTAATTCTAGCTGTTTTGAAGCGTGTTTTCACTTGCCTTGGTGATTGTGTGAACCCGATTCCCAGGGTTTTCAATTTGTTTTGTGTATGGAAGTGAGTAAGAATGCATATGGATAAACAATGTCCCATGTGTGCTAAATTCCTAAATCCACCCCTGTACACGTGCCTTACATGTATGTGGCAAAAACTGGTATTACAGCAATTATTTATATGCACTTTTCGCCACTCTCTCTTTGCAGACTCACTAAAAGATTTCAATTTGAGTTCTTCAATCACGCATCGACCCTTGCTTGCTTGAATTTCTAGGGTTCGGTTTTTCAACATTTTGTGTGGAGGAAAACTAGGAAGCAAAGGCCCAAATTTCATCGAATCTGAAGAGTCGATGAGCTGGCGTTTGCTTGTGAGGTGTGATTAGTTGAGAATTGATGTTAGTTTTTTTCTAGGATTTTTAATGTACTGCAATTACTGACTCTTGTTAATATTTTATGCTGAAATTTTGCTTATTATGTTTAAATATATTGTGAAAAGTTGCATTTTAGTAGTTGAGATAAAATTTTAGTAATTTACTTGGATAATGAACGATAATTAGTAGTAATATGCATAGTTTTGGCAAATGAGTTCTACCACCATCCTCATTAAAAAAGAAAGTATGAAGGGTAGGTGAATTTGAATGTATCTTCCCAATCTTTTATGGTGGCAGCCAATATTACACGTCATTATTTTGATAGCTGGAAATATGTTTCAAGATAAAATTTTGATCTCTGGTCTTTCACTAACAGAAGCATAAGTTATCAGCAAAATGGGTGGTAGAAAGTATATTAATTGCTTCATGGAAATGGGGTGATACTTGTTATGCAGCAACTTTACTTCAATCCATTTGCTATTAAAGTAATCTCTGACTTGTTTCTTATATTTCAGAAAAGATGCCTTCATGGTGGGGAAGTCATTGTCAAAGGATGCTCAAAAGAAAACAGCCAAAGGGAGTTCTGTTGACACATTAAATAAAAAGTTTAGGAGACATGAAGGTAAAAATTCCACAAATTTAGCGTAGGTCTTTGCAATTTATTTTCTCTTGATAAGTTGATATCATTCTGAGTTGTGGAAAAAGTAGCCAAAAAATCACTAATAATATAAAGCCCATAAGGTGTTTGATAGAATTGCAATAAGAAGCTTTTAGCATTTGTATAGTTTTGGTTATAATTTCAAACTCTGTTGGTGTTAAGTTCAATTTTCCTCATTCTTATGCAGAAGAAATTTCTCGATCAGCAAATCCTGTTGGCTGTCCGAAACTATTCTAGGACAAGAATCCGTCTTCCACCACCTGCTTCTGCCAAGGCTGTAATCCGGGTGTCTAACAATGTTGCCCATTTGGGTTGTCCAAAAGAGGGTCCAAAGCCCCAGCAGCTCCTGTCTTTGCCGCCATTCCCAGGCCACCCATTGCCGGGAAGAAAATCGGCAACTGCTCATCATGTCACTGCTATTAGCTGGCTCAAGTATTACTTTGATGACATCCCCCCTCCTGTTATTCAGTCCCATTTCAATAAGGGTCTTGTGAGTATTTTACACTTTCTTTGTTTTTATCAGTTAACCTTTATTCATAGACAATGTCTACTTGTCAAGAATCCATAGCTAGTAAAAATTATTGAGTCACTAAACCTTTTTTTTGAACATTTTTGAAGGGACTTGGTGTACATCACATTAAGAAATTGATTGGTAGTTATCACCTTTGTAATATGGGAGGTTGACTATTATCCATATATCTTATCCTGTATATATGTTTCTATAGGTGATCATGATTCAGGGACTTAGAAAATAGTGAAATATTTCAAATAGTTTTATTAAATCATCATGATGTTCTTGGACAGTTACTATATTGTAGAGCTTATAACTTGTGTGATTGATTTGCAATTTCACTTCCCCTCTTAACTTGGAATGCCTGAGAAGGACGAAGACTGTCTTTCATAAAATATCTAAATGTAGTTGAATGGTACAAATTTATTTTAATACTAGTAAATTTATACCCCATTTGGCTTGAACAGGTTCAGATGGAATGTATCGATTCAACAAACTCATCTAGAAGTCACAAAGGCCAACCATTGTCCATGATAAAGGTAGTAATGCTATGAGGAGCCATCCATGTAAACCTAGTGTAATGAAACATAGAAAGTCTGTTTTTCTGTCTCTGTTTTCTCTTTTGTCTATCTGAATCTCATTAACAAATGATTAAATAACATATTTACATATTTTATTGATTTACAACCATATATCTAATGTACAGATTAACCATAATGAGGTAATGGAGGTGGGCGCCAGAATTTATGTTCCTGTATCTGTTGCTGAAAGTAGAATTCCAAAGAGGTTTGATGTTATACCAAGTGGAACTCTATGCCCAAATGCGGATGAGATTGAGTACTTACAGAGGCTTGTAAAGTACAAGGTATTTCTGTTGATTAAGCATATATATTGGGGGGTGGGGGGTGTGTGTATGTGCGTGTGCACGATCACGACTGCGCGTTTGTTTTTGTGTGTGTGTATTTATATTTATATTTTTCTTGTGACAATAAATTGTTTTAAGTATGATACGATGTTGAGCTGTGAATTCCCTCCCAATAAAATGGTTGCTACAATCTGGCTCCTACCATTATTGTTAGATATGATTAAATTTTCTGAATTGATAATGTTTTGCTGTCATTCCAGGATTCTGCTATACTTGTGTTAAATAAACCTCCTAAACTGCCCATAAAGGTTAGCGATGTTAACCTTCTCCATAATTTCCACCTCTATTTAGATTCTATGGCCCATTTCTTAGTTCGTAGCATGGAATTAGGGAAACATGCCAGTTCATAACAGCATGGACGCCTTGGCAGCTGCAGCCTTGTCATATGATTACGATGAGGGTCCAAAATTGGTGAGTTACTTTTTCATAATTGATGTAGATGAGAATCTAGCTCATTTAGCAAAGATATGTACTTGATCGGAAAGTAGTTCAGCAGCTAATACTTGTAGAACTTTTATTAATACTTCTGTTTAACTCCTGAAATCTAGTCTGTTGGTTCTTATATAGATGCTCCTATAGGTGCATCGTCTTGATAGGGAGACTAGTGGTCTCCTTTTAATGGGAAGAACAGAAGATAGCATCTCCCAACTTCATTGGTTGTTCAGTGGTGTAAAGAAGGGGAAATCAATGTCTAAGGTACTCGTATTCAATGAGAGAAGCCATAAGCTTGTCGATTACTTTCTTCAAATGGTATATCCTCAATATAATTATTAACATATGACAGCATATTTCTTTCTGTTTTATTTTTTTGGGATTCTAGGGTTGGAATGATGCTTGTGCGAAAACATATCAGAGGTACTGGGCTTTGGTCATAGGTTGCCCTGAGGAAAAAGAAGGCTTAATTTGTGCTCCACTTACAAAGGTCTCTAAGAATTATTAATGGCGTCCAGAATGCTGGTTGATGCGACTGGGTGAATCACTAAATGATGTTATGGATTTGCAGGTACTTCTTGATGATGGAAAAACCGAGAGGGTTATTTTGGGAAATAATTATGGCTTAGAAACTTCCCAGGAAGCTATAACTGAATATCGTGTGCTTGGTCCCATGATTAATGGATGTTCATGGATTGAATTACGCCCACATACCTGCCGTAAACATCAGGTACCGAGACAGTAACTTTTTTCACCCTCAGATGGAGTAGAATCCTTTTGAATTCTAGTCACCAGTTCTGTAGTCTAATAACTTCAGACGTGCCTTCGGATTCCGACCTCTCGCTTATATAGCGTAGAGACTCTTAAACCTTATTCAAATTTTGTTTTTGGGAGAATGGATAAAAATTTATACTTGTTTCTCTAACTTTCTATAACTAGGAGTGAAGATTGATCTGATATAGTTTTCTAAATAGTTTTAATTAAGTGCGGGAAAGGATTACCAGTGCTAAGATAATCAGTGAGACCAAAGCAACAATCTTGGATTTGTTAACAAGCGATTGTATCGCCAATTATTATGTTCAGAAAAGTTGGATTAGAAAATACTACATGGTGCATTACCTTTTTATCCTTACTACCTGACATGCCATTAAAGATTCAAGCAATTTATTCATTATAGTTGCCCTTAGCATCTTAATGCTACTAACTAGTCTCTTTTGCAGCTTCGAGTGCATTGTGCTGAAGCTCTTGGTACCCCTATCGTGGGTGACTATAGATACGGTTGGTTTATTCATAATAGATGGAAGCAAATGCCTAGAGTTGATTTTGAGCCTAAGACTGGGAAACCTTACAAAATGCGGAGGCCAGAAGGTCTGGATGTGCAAAAAGGTAGTGTTTTATCTAAGGTTCCCCTGCTGCATCTGCATTGCAGGGAACTGGTAATACCAAACATTGCAAAGTTTCTTCAACTTCTCCGCAATAAAGACACCGAGAATGAGTCAGGACCAGATCTTCTCCGGTTCGTGGCAGCTATGCCATCACATATGAAAATTAGTTGGAATCTAATGTCCTCTTATTTGGTGTAAAACTGAGCCCTCCATCTGCATCCTATATTAATTCATAATAGCAGTGGTCCCCTTCCCCCTGCTCTTTGTCATTCCCCTATCATTTAACTGGTAAAATATTAATAATTATTAGAGGAAAAACGAAGTTAATATTTCGTGTAGTTCTGGTGCCTTTCAAACACCGCTTCTCATAGTATATTTACGTTTTAAATTACAGCAAAATATTAATGTTGAGATGGATTTGAACTCTTCATTAATGCCTTACCAAAGATTTAGTACAGGTACAGGCTGCTTCTATAATGGTTGAGTAATGCTATTTAATCCCATTAGAGTTATAATTTCAATTTATGTGACGTTAAATGACAAGTACATTTAAATGATTTAATTAATTTCACATTTCATTTAGTCTATCACCCAATATCACATATATTGGAATTATAACTTCAGTGAGACTAAATAGCGTTACTCACAATAATTTTGAGTCTGTCGGTTTTCTGTTTCCATTTAGATAATTTTCTTGTTTATTAATTTGTGTTGGAGTCGGGTTAGTTCAACAGTGTTGAAAAATACGATCTTATTGTTATATGGATCTTCATGCGTGACTATAATGTTTTGGAAATCATTGTTCTCGGTTTGGAACTATGACCTTGTTCGGTTCAATTGAAAAAGTTAATTGAAATCTAAGTTAAGTTTAATAATTAATTTTAATTATACATTTTATGAGACTCATGACTTTTCAATCGCAATTTCTAATTAGTTTTATCAAATTTATTAAAAATTTGACTTTTATCTGAACTTAATGATCGTCCAGCTTCCAATTCCTGGTGGGAATTATGATGTGATTCATCGATTAGTCAGGTTTTCAGGGTGGTCCAACAAAATTCTTTATCCATATTGAGGACAAGGAACGTAATCTCCACTTCAATAATTATTTATATAACTAAAACTTTTAAATTTTTTGTATAATTATATAAATATAAAAAATGTGTATAGTTTTAAATGGAGAGACGGGATAAGGAATGGGATCCTACCCCCATGGCCCAGCATGTGTCGAGAAATTATTAATTTGTCATGTAGGCTTACATATATAATTAAGAGGAAATTAGACACAATACCCTAAAAAATGAGAATAAATTGATTAATACATTTAAATTAGATTAAAATTTTAGTAAATGTATTAATTACGTCGATTGAAAACATGAAACATTTGAAAGTCACCAAAATCATTTGAGGGACAAACGGACGCACTCCCAGTCTGGTATTTTTTATTTTTTAAAATTTTTATTACTAAAATTTTTTCGTTTGATACAGTATTTTACGCTACGATTATCCATTTTGAGCGATTCAAAATCTATTAGAAAGCTTGTCAAAAGAACATGATAAATATGTTATGGATAAAGTCTAAATGTCAAAAATTATCGCATGAAATATTGAACGCAAAATAAACCATAATTATTAAGTCCATTTCTTGTGGCCATTTATGACTTGTTATTATGAACTCTTCGTTTATCGATTTTGAAATTAGAAAGATGTATTTCAAAGTTTGTTGTAAATACTTCGAAACAATAACAAAAATGTCACCTTAAAAGTGAAGAAATATAGCCTGTAAATAATTTAAAAGAGGTAACTCCAAAATAGAATTAAGTGATAGATTGTCACTTTTTTTGTGGTTGTCACTTTTTATTTTGTCACTGTATTTGAATTTGTCACTTTTTAGAATTTTTGTCACTTTTTTGAATGATTGTTACTTTTTTATTTTTTGTCACATTTTTGTAAGTTGTGTAATTTTTTTAAATTTTTGTCACTTTTTTTTTAGTATTTGTCACTTTTTTCAACCACCTTAGTGATTTCTATCACTTTTTTTAGTGATAAATCACTTTTTAATGTATGTTATTTTTTAATAAAAAAAGTCACATTTAACGTTTAAAAGTAACATTGTGTGGCTTTTTCTTTAATTAAAAAGTGACAATTTTTATTAAAAAAAATGTGATATTATGTCACTTTTCTAATATCACACAGTATTTTTTACTTTCAAAAAACTTTTCATATGATTTTTCAAAAGATTCTTAATTTTAAGGGTATTTTTGTAAGTTGCCCTATAATTAATTGTGTAAAAAGATTATCTAAAAGTTAAGCCCAAAATTAAATTGATTTAATTAAGTAATTGAATTTAGGGTATCTAAATAAAGTGTGTGCCGGGTTATATGTGTAAAGGCCAAATTCCTTAAAAATTATATTTTATGATGAACGAAATACATATGAAAATTATATATAGAATTATGATCCCCAATTCATACACAATTCTCATTCTTTGTGCCATCTCATTAATATGAGAATTAATAAATAAAGAATATTGAGAAAAAAAATCCAAAACCCGCATAAAAGAATTCAAGAATCCAAAATGAAAAATCAAGATTAAATATTCGAAAGACAAGATTCAAATATCATAACTCAATATTCAATATACAAATTAATGAATCACGGTATGTTCCGTATTAATTATTTTTCTTGGTGATTTGACATAGAGATTTTGACGATTATATAAAGTTTATTAAGTTTAAAATTCATAAATATTCAACAGCATGTAATTGAATATGATGCTATATGTATATTGTTTTACAAATTTTGCATGCACGTGGAATTAGTATTTAATCAGCACATTAAGGAGCCTCACGAAGAGTACATTTAAATAAGTAATATGTTCTCAAGTAACTAGTTCAAATTTTTAGATAAAGAGACATTTATTTACTATAAATTTAAATTTATTTCAATTTCCAATAAGAATCTTCTTTGTGTTTAGATAGAAAATGTAATAGGAATTATACCTTTGTTGAATTCTGCAAATTTCTTTGTTTTTCTTGAACTCCAAGAAACACGATCTACAATTTACAGCTATCTAATTGTCCAGCTTCCAATGAAAATTCACACAGGGAACAAAATTGAGAGAACTAGGGTTTTTCTTTTCTTGTTCTAGCATGAATAATTATTTTCTCTATAGTTTTTCAAATCTTAGTATCTTATTAATTTAAGTCCAAACATGCTTGGCACATCTCTTAAAATTAATCCGGTACAATTTTAATTAATATAATTAATTAAATTTAGTCCACGAGTTAATTAATTCAATTAATTAATTATCCAACACTTGTTAATTAATTAATTGATGAATCTCATTCTTCTAGTTTTCCTTTAGTGTATGACCTATTAAGTTTCGAATCACGAAATCTAATGACGTGAATTATTATTTTGATCTAATCAAAATCGATAAATTGAAACACCCCTTTTAATTTCTCACTAATTCACATCCATCGTCCCACATAAACATCTAGCAATGTATCAGAACAATACATGTGACAAAAATGTCACGTGGTACGACAAAACCTTGATTGTTTGTTTACCATGAAACCATTATTATTTCGTCAATATGATCCGATCAATTACAAGATATTGAAGTGTATCAATTTTGATTTTTGATTATATTTTTTCCTTCTACTATTAAGCTAATATAAATCGAAACTTTCTTTTTGATATATGAATACACATTGGCCTAAGATTTCATTATCCACTTAACTGAATGAAAATGTAGATCATAATCTCTTACTATCTAAGAGTGATGAATCATCTATTAGTCATTCACAGCCTTCATATTATTCTTGACATATCTGAACGATGCTTTATTAGTGGCCATTGGCAGAGTAACATCCAACATCACTAAAGTATGACTGTCCTCATATAAGACAATATGATAACCTCAAACCGAAGAACCAATTTTACTACCGAACGTTAGAGATTGTGCGATTAGCTACTCAACTCACAAGTAAGAACTGTCACACTTAATGGTATATCCGTAATAAAAATATTCGTATCTCGTTATTTACTTACGACCACGAATAATTTAAGATTCAATTATATGTAATTTGTATCTTACAATCACAGTTCTTTGTGATTAACAAATTAATAAGATTTAAATCTACGGACTCTATTGTTTAATTTAATTGAATACTAATTAAATAATAGATATGTCATAAAATTACTTCAATTATAAATTAAAAGTTTTATGTTCAAAGTTGATTGGAACTAAGGTATAACATTTACTATTGTTTTACAAATTTCGCATGCATGTGGAATTAATATTCAATCTGCACGTTAAGGAGCCTCACGAAGAGTGCATTTAAATAAGTAATATGCTCTCAAGTAACTAGTTCAAATTTTTAGATAGAGAGACATTTATTTACTTTAAATTTATATTATAACAAACTTATCCCAACTTTGAGTTCATTACTCCATCTTTATATACATTATTAACGTCAATATATATTTGTAAGACTTGTATTTCTTAATTAACTTGACCGAATACTTAATTAACTTGACCGAACTACGGCCGTTATTATTTTATATTTTTTTCCTAAGAGAGTGTACGCTTACCAATTTCGATGATAAATCATCATTTGTTTTCTAGCACAGAACATATGCAGTAGTTGCGGCCCTAAAACTTTATTGTTACATGAGATTGGATAATGTTAGACACTGTTAAATGCAATATACATTTTAGTGTAAACATTTCAGTTTCTATGATCTATTTTAGTCTAGTTTTAAGCCAATTTGTTCATTACAGGGTGATAAAATCTCAAACCTAAACAAATTGTTGTATTACCCAAATCAAACTAAATAAATCGCGAACGCTGGCTTAGTTTGTTTTTAACTGGTGTTTCCTAGTACATTATTTTTCGAAATTGGTTTAAACTGGAAGGAAAATGGTTAAGTGTTAAAATCAAAATATGGAAAAAAGTGACTTTCGTGTCAATTTTAACCAAATATTTTAGCGAGGAATTTATCACGCAAAGGCCTCATTCTAATAATTATACATCTAACATACAAATAAACACATATAATATAATAGTGCGGACGAATATGAATTTTCACTATCTACTATTTTCAAGCCATAAGAAAGATTAGTTGGTCAGTTCTTAGGAGGTGTAGCATTGACTCATACAACGCTCCATCTCTATGGTTTCCTTCTCTTCTTGTTTCTTCAATTAATTCAACTGTAACACGTATCTTATACTAGTTCGCACGCAAGCCTAAATAATTGGACATGCATGCCCATAAAATTACAACAGACTCCCGAGTACAAAAGAAATAAGAGCTCGCAAACCTATAAAACAATAAGAATAAAACTAATCATTCAACACATTCACATGGTCGAGTTCATAGTCATCCACTAATAAACATTCATCATATAA